CATTTCTGGGCACAATTCAAAGAGCTGGCGGATAACTAGGGGGTCCTGGACGGCTAATCACTCTGGTCCGTGGAGGGCCACCTTTCACCCCAGCAGCCAGCTTCAAGGCCAAACCTCCCTGGCGCACAACCTTAAGTGAGTGGGGAGCAGGGAGGGGGCTCACTATTGAAGACCCTCCTCTGGAAGGCTTGCCAGGCATCAACTATGACATTTCAGTGCCAGGCAAGCACCTGTTTGTTCCCCCTGAGATTCCAGCAGGCAATAACAGCCAGCCTTGACTATTATGTAACCCATTCTTCTGAACTTTACGAGTTTGCTTTAATTTGGTCATTTTTTGTTTTCGGGTGTTTTGCACACAGCAGCTGCCTTTTGTTGTTCTGTTGCCTTCTGACTTGTAAAAGAGCCTTACTGGCGATTTCCAAATAAACAACCCCCTTTCCCCCCAAGCTGGCGCCCTCCCCGGTGTTTCGGACCACAACTCCCATCGCCCCCTGCCCCATGATGCTCTTCTGGCCGCTTGTGCTCCAAAACACCTGGCGAGGCCCAGCTGGGTGACCCTGCCCGGCCAGCCTCCTTGTTCTTTAAGAAGGGCGGCGTCTCCTCCGATTGCGGAAGGGAGCACGTGGGAAAGGGGCCAGGGGCGCCGGGAAGGGAGGCAGGCAGGCAGGCAGGCAGGCGGGCATTCCCACCCAGGCGGGGAATCGGCGCAACTCGACCCGCGGCGCAGGTGGCCTTCCCACTAGCAAAGACCAGGCAGGTAGGCTGGCGCTTGGAAACCGGCTGCCCGAGGGGTAGGGGGGGACCCCGTTTCCAGGCTGCTCGGTTCCGGAAGCGGCTTTTGGAAAAGAAACTGGGCTCCGAGTCCTCACCTCGGGCTTCCCAGGGCAGGAATAGTCTACCTGCGAGGAGCCTCCGCCCTCCAGCTGCCTCCAGCCGGGCCGCGCTCGGGAGCTCCTCGGGGGCGCAGCAGCTCCCCGGGCAAAGTCCCCCTCCGTCGGGGCCGCCAGGCGCGCGGCGCCTCCTTCCCTCGGCCAAGGCCGCTCCCAGCCCCGCCAAGGGAGCCCGCCCGGCCCGCTTCCCTTCCGGGGCCGTCCGATCCGAGCGGCCCCTTCCCACCGGCCGGAGCCCCGCGCCCGGCCGCACTTACCCGACCGCGCGCCCGGCTGCGCTCCGCCTTTCCTGCTCGTCGGGCGGGACTGGCGACGGGAGCCCTCCCCGCCTGGCCAGAGCCGCATTCCCCGCGCGCCCGGTCGCCTGGCCTTCCTGCCTCCGAGAGGCGGCGTCGGCCGAGCTCGGCTGGGGCCCGGTTGCTCTCACCCCGCGGCCCCGTCCCGAGGGCACCTTTGCGCGGGATGGCGCGCCGCGGGCCGAGGCTGGGGACGGGCCCTTTGCGCCAAGGAGCCAGCCCGGAGCAGGTGGCCTCTTGCGCCCGAACCGCCTCCGCGGGGCGGCTTTTGGCACAGCAGCAGCCCCCTCCCCATCAGCAGGGCTCGAGGCAGCCTAGGAAGCCCCCCTCTGCCCTTTCCTAGAGAGCAGTCAGGATGCAACCGTCTTGCCTGGTCCACTGGGGGGTCCCATCTCTAGCCCCCAGCCTGGCCTTTTCCCCCTTGGGGCAGGTTCTGGGCAGCTGTTTCAGCAAGGATCCCAGACAACAGCACAGGGTTTAGGGTGGTGTGGCCAGTCCGCCCCCCTCAACAGGGTGCCAAGCCAATGGGGGCTAATAATAATAATAATAATAATAATAATAATAATTAATAATTTTCTCAATAATGTGAAGTTTCAGTTAGCTTATTGAGCTTATTAAAAAAGCAACTGTATTATTGTGAAAACAAGAAATATTAAGAGAGGTTTTGCCAAATTTGGTTCTCATTCAGATGTTTTCCAGGTGGGCCTGTGGAGAGGGGCAGGGTGGGGATCACTCACCTCCGTGTTCATTGCCCCCTAGATCCAGCTGAATCCTTCGGGCTGCCTCCGCTATGGGGTGCCCCAGAAGCACTTTGCACCCACTCTGTCACTGCACAACCCCAGGCCAGCCCTGGGCAGTGGGAGGGATGTAGAACTGACCCTGCAACATCCCCTGGGAGGAGCAGAATGACCTGTCCTTTGGATCTCAAGGACAGTGGTCCCAACTCCCCGCAGTGGGGCTCAGCCCCGGACCTGCTCAGGGAGGGCTTCAGCCATCAGAGCTACTTTCCCACCCCGCACCCCCCAGCTCTAGGTAACGGATGGGGAAGTTTCAACACAGACTTACCCAACAGCTGCCTGTTGCCCAGGGCTTGTGTCCATTTCCTGAGCAAGAAAGATGGGGCAAACTTGCTGCTTCCTGTTTGCCTGCAAGCCTACACTCACCGTCAGCACCCGTCTCAGGAAGTAACTGTCAGACTGCTCTTTTGGGGGCTGAGGGGTCCTCCTCCTTGCAGGGACACAACAAAAAATCGTTGGCCCGAAGGATGTGCCTTTTCATCCTCTGCCAAGGTCACCCAGCGAGAAAAGGGCGCCCAGAGGGGAAGGCAAGCAACTGATTCATGGTTGCCCTCCCCTCTTTCCAATTGCACTGGGGGAAAAACCGCCTCCAGGGTGCTCACAGACCTCCCTGCACTGGAAAACTGCAGACTGAGTCACCCCAGAGAAACAACATGGGTACCATGCAGTGGCCAGCCACCCTCCCACCAAAGTCTCTGCTGCAGGTGGCCCAGGCCTCACAGCGGTGCTGTGAGCCATCTGGGACTGTGGAAGTGAGGGATGGGCAGCAGAAACAAGCTTTGGCTTTAAGGTTTTGTTTTTTTTGAAGTCACATCCAATGCAAGCATCTGCACTAAGAAGTCGTGGAACAATGAAAGGAACATAGGAAGGTGCCTTTATACTGATCCAAACCACTGGTCCATGCAGCTCAGTGTTGCCTACACTAATTGGCAGCTGCTCTCCAGGGTTTAAGACCTAGCCGCCGCCCCCCCCCCCCCGGAGATGCCACTGGAGAATGAACCTGAAACCTTTTGCCTGCAAGGCAGCCGCTCTGCCAATGATCTATATGGCCGTTCCCCTATTAAAATGGTCAGCATCCCAATTGCCTTTGCAGAAAGGGAGGGTCCTTCTGGGCTGGCACTGGGCCTCCTGAGGCCCTCACGCAACCTGCTTAGCGTTAAGCCAAACTGCACCGCACGCTCAGGGACAAAGTGCACAGATCACGTGACGGGCCGTGTTGCAGCTTTGTTTTTCTTCCCTGGCTAGCAGCCTTGGGACCCAGATTGGGTTGCGTTGCGAGGGGAAAGGAGGCTTTGAACTCGCACGCAAACCGCATGGTTCTGATCGGGATCGGAGAGTCCTTGTAGGTGCTGTGTATCGCAGGATAGATTCATCCATCGATGCCAGCGCAGGCCTGACAGAGTGGTCGCACCTTTTGCTTAAACTCGCCTGTTTTTCATTTTGGGAAGTATCCAGGTTTGACAGTCACAGCAAGGCAAGTTTGGCAGGGGAGATAGTGAGTGTAGTAATCTGATGCTCTTAAAAGATGGTCTGCAACCAACAGCAAGACTTGCCCCCCCCCCAAAAAAACCTGAGCTGGTTCCCTGCCAACTCCCCTTTACTCACCTCCCGTTTTGCCAGCCGAGTTCCTCCGTCCAGGTCTTAGATGGTCCAGATGGGTCAGATAGGCCTGGGGCAAAATTCACGGCAGAGTTGGTGCATATAGTCTCCCTTGAATGTTTCCGCTCCAGATGGTTTGTCTTTCCACAAGACTCTCCTGTCCCCTTGGTCACGCTCGGTCATTTGATCCTGTTTCGCCTCTTTTGAACGAGCTTCGTCGTTTCTTCCCTCTTGCAGAGAATCTGCCTGCCTACGAAAGAAGAGAACAGGACAGGGAAGGATGTTGGCGATTTCTCATCCATGGCAGGATCCTGGCATCGCTCTCGCCACAAGCGTGCAGCTGCTGCGGTCTCCAGAGGAAGCCGCAGCTGGGAAGGCTCAACAGAAGCCGCACAGTCCACGGTGACCTCTCTTCCCACCTTCGAGAAAGAGGCATTGGGCAGAGAAGCTGAGTGGCTGCTGCTGCTGCCAGGGGGACTTTGCCAGGTGGTGAGTGGCACGGCTGAGCTGGGCCCCCACAAGCTCTCCCTGCTTGCCAGTGCTGTGGGCAAAGATTAATTAATGAACAAAGGGTCTTTCTCACTGTCAGTGGAGCCAGCAGTGGAGGAAGAGGGATGGAGGCCAGAGCCCCTCCCTCTTAAGCAGGCTCAAGCCCCCCCTCCCCCAAATGAGGCAAGAATGAGGTCTGAGCCTGGGAGGAGGAAAAGCAGGGGACACCAGGGCAATAGCAATCAGGAATGCGATTTTATCTTGCTGGCTTCTAATGCTGAGCTTTTTGCGATAATGCTTTTTATTTTTATTAATCTCTACTGTGGATAAATAAGAGATTAATAAAATTAAAAATCTCTACCGTGGATGGGACACAGGTGGCACTGTGGGTTAAACCACTGAGCCTAGGGCTTGCCGATCAGAAGGTTGGCGGTTCGAATCCCCGCGATGGGGTGAGCTCCCGTTGCTGGGTCCCTGCTCCTGCCACCCTAGCAGTTTGAAAGCACGTCAAAGTGCAAGTAGATAAATAGGTACTGCTCCTGTGGGAAGATAAACGGCGTTTCTGTGTGCTGCTCTGGTTCGCCAGAAGCGGCTTAGTCATGCTGGCCACATGACCCGGAAGCTGTACGCCGTCTCCCTCGGCCAGTAAAGCGAGATGAGTGCCGCAACCCCAGAGTCGGCCACAACTGGACCTAATGGTCAGGGGTCCCTTTACCTTTACTTTTACCGTGGATAACTTCTGTATTTTACTACACTGCTGTTTTAATTCTTTATGTGCACTACTCTGGGATTTTTTTTATAAGGAAAAGTGATAGATACATTTTATTTTATTTTATTATATATATATATAATTAAATTTCCTATTTTTCAATTGAGAGAATATTCATTTAAACAACCTTAAAATATCAATGACTTCCCTTCTTCTCTTTCCATGGTTCATTTTGCATAACATAAATCCCTGCATATTTTATATAAACTATACCATTCAGTACTCCATTATTACATCCATCAAAACTTACATACACGGTTGAATTTATCTCATTGCTGTCAACGTTTTCAAGTGTACACAGTCCGCCCCCCCCCATATATTCAATAAACATTTTCCAATCTTCTTTAAACATACGTTCTTCTTGTTCTCTTATTCTATATGTTGATAGATACATGTTTTAAGCAGATCAGTGAATCTTCCAAGGGCTCCGTGGTAGAGTTGCTGCTCTGCATGCAGCCCCCAGGTGGGGCTGGAAGAGACCATGGAGAGGTGCTGCCAGTACTGAACTCGATGGGCCAGTGGTCCGACTTGATGCGAGTCACTGTCCTATGTTCCTGTCTTAAGAGTGTGAGTATATACAGTGGTACCTTGGGTTACATACGCTTCAGGTTACAGATTCCGCTAATGCAGAAATAGTACCTTGGGTTAAGAACTTTGCTTCAGGATGAGAAAAGAAATCGTGTTCCGGTGATGCGGCAGCAGTGGGAGGCCCTGCTAAAGTGGTGCTTCAGGTTAAGAACAGTTTCAGGTTAAGAACAGATCTCCAGAACAAATTAAGTTCTTAACCCGAGGTACCACTGTACTCCAAAGCCACCAGCTTTGGGAAGTGGCAGGGCACCCTCTGGCATGTGGGTGTCATTGGCAGCACATTCCCCAGTTAGTGGGCTCTGGGGGTCTTTCCAGGGATGTCTTGGGTTTGTGTGCTGTTGTTGCTTTTTCTGCTGTTTTTGATTATTATTTTTTTTATCTTCCTTTCCTGGGCTGTGTAAGCCTAGAACTTGGTGGCTGTCCCCCTGAAATCTGGGACTGTCCCTGGAAAATAGGGAGGGTCTTAAAGGGGAGACCCCAACCCCTAGACGGGGGGTTTTGACTTCTAGGCAACAGCCGACAGTGGCCCTTCTGCTTAGTCTGTCATACAAGGCCTCTGCTCCTTCTCACAGAGGAAATGAATAAAAGTGTGGGAAGCTGTTGAAAGAGAAGTACAGTGGTACCTCGGGTTAAGTACGGTACTTAATTCGTTCCGGAGGTCCGTTCTTAACCTGAAACTGTTCTTAACCTGAAGCGCCACTTTAGCTAATGGGGCCTCCCGCTGCCGCCGGAGCACGATTTCTGTTCTTATCCTGAATCTTATCCAGACACTCTGGGCTAACGGAGTCTGTAACCTGAAGCGTATGTAACCTGAAGCGTATGTGACCCGAGGTACTACTGTATTACAGCTAACAGTGGGGGGGCAAGGGGATGTTTCCAAATGGAGGGGTTCTGTCTTAAGTGTTGCTGCCCCATCAGGGCAAGGAAGGCTGACCAAGCTCATTTGAACCTTTCACTCAGGTAAACAAGAAGAGGACCCACTCCCGTGCCCTTAAGGAGGGTTTTGCTCAGGGAGCCGGCTTTAGGCAACAGGAGGAACCTCACACCCCCTTCCTTTGAATCAGGAAGCCCCCTCCCCCTTTCTTTACCAGGGACCCAAGCAAGGACCACCCCCCACCACCCCAATTCTCCTCCTTACCCGTTATTTCATGGCGAGACATGGGCAGAGTCCCAGTGCCAACATCCAGGGGGAGTTTGGAGTCCCAGCAGGGTCAGGTGTGCTGTGAGGAAGCACCCCCCCCCAGGACTGCTGAAGATGGAGCGAGAAGGAATGCAGAAAGCTGTCGCGGAGGGAAGGAGGAGCATGTCAGGTGGCAAGACAGGTTTGACGGCAGTGGATTCCCCAGGCGCAAGAGGAGGCTTCGCTCTTGGCCAGGGCTCCGGAGCCAAAGGCTGGGAGGGCAGGAACAGGTTGCAGCAGAAAGGTTCCTGAGATCCAGGAGAATGGAAAATAGGGTTGCTATGTTTTCTGGATGAGGAGGGCCCTGGGAATCCAAGGAGCTGGTAGGACTGAGGTGAAACTGCAGCTCCCTTGTTATTTTTGCTGTTGGGTGTTGATGTAATGGTGTAACAGCGTTGGAATGTTGTTCTATTTCTTCTTGTGTTGTTTTATTCCATTATAATGACATTGCTTTCTGCATTGCTTGATTTTGAAATGCATTTTTTGGGGTTGTAAGCCGCTTTGAGCAATGATGTGTGTAGTAAAGTGGCATACAAGTAAATTTATGAATGAATGGTTAGCCATGCTTCCGTTTCTCCGAGCGACACAACACACACAAGAACATTAAAGAACCATCTCCAAGCATCACAGATGGATTGCATCCATAATCCATGATAATCAATTTAATGTTGTTTTAAAAAGTCACAAAAGAAGGAAATCAAGGATGTGCCTGTGTCATCAACAGTTAAAATGTCATAGCTGCCCGTTTTCAGGTGCCCCGGGAAATATATTTCAGACTCCTCCTGCTGTTGTGAGGTGGGGGCTTCAAGCTCCTTGCAGTGGTTCTCTTTTATGGTTGTCCTGCAGTGTCGTCCCCCACCCACCAGTAACTTGTAGATGAACAATAACAGATTCCTTTATTTATATTATTTATTTAATTATTAATAAAATTTGTACAGCACCCTTCATATTGTAGATCTCAGGGCAGTTCAAAACATACAAATGCAAGATTATATATAAACACGTTAAACATAATAAAAACGAGAGCAAAATTTCCAGAGAGGCGGCATCTTTCGGCATCTTAAAAAGACATGCAGAATCTGCTCAGGGCTGTGTCCACAGGTGGCCTGTCTGCCCAAAGGCTGCTCAGTGGCGCGACTGAGGCAGGGCACGGGTCACAAGCCCAGCAGAAGGCCTACCCTTCATTTTAACTGAGTTCTTCACGTTCTGCTAATTTCTTTTGAAACAAATATTATGTTCAAGCCCTGATGCGCCAGATCTTTTCTCCTTATGAGTCCAGTGGAGGGGAATTTGAAGGCAGAAAATTTGAAGACCCGCAGTGACCTCACTGGAGATCTCAGCCATGCCACAGAAACCATGGCTGTACGGCACAGTGTGGCTTCAGAAGGGAATGTGCATGTTCAGGGGGAGGCAGGATTAGTGCTGGAGACCATCAGCTGGGGGGGAGTGGGGCTATTCACACACAGCCTGAGGCTTCGTCCAAGGGGCATCTACCTGGATAAGAAGTGCTGGATCTTGTGAGGCAGCTTGTTTGCCCTTAGTGACCTGCCTGGAGTGGACCCCATGATGGCTGAGAGGGATGTCCAGCAGGGGCCTCTCCACACCCGGCCACCTTTACAGCTGCTCCATCCGAAAGCCTCCACTTTTGATGAGGGTGGGAGGGCTAGGATGGCTGAGAGAGGAGGAAAAAAGAGATTGATGGCTTGGAAATCCTCCCAGGTGCCTAAGGAGCCCTCGGTGCGGCTGTGCCAGGCACTTGGGCAGGTCTGGGGGCAGGGGGGGTGCCCCTCAAGGCTCAACAAGGCTGAAAATAAAAGTCCACCACATGAGAAGGCCCTGGGAGCTGCGTGAGGCCCAGAGGTTCGTTGGCTCTGGAAGAGGTGCACAGGAACCAGCCAGGATGGGCCGCCGACTCAAACCGCCAAGCCCCGTCTTTGTTAGAGGAGAAGAAGGTGAAGCGGCTGGACTCCTTCCTGCCGCCTTTGGGCAGATCTGTGATGTTGACGGTCTGAGGAGAAGGAGAAAAGGAAGCGATCTGGTGAGGGAGGGAGGAGGCAGCTGACCCCTGTCTGCTTTGGGCTAGCGTCCCCTTGACTAGTGAGGGGCAAGAGAGGGTTCCTAAGGAAGACAGAACATAAGAAGAACCTGCTGGATCAGGACCATGTCCCTCGTGGCCCAGCATCGAGTTCTCGCACAGGCCAACCAGATGGCCCAATTGGAGGCCCACAAGTAGGATTCGAGTGCAAGAGTCCTGTGGCTTCCAGCAACTAGTAATTCAGAAGCATTTTTGCCTCCAACTGTGGAGGCAGAGCAGACCTATCATGGCTAGGTAAAGGTAAAGGTACCCCTGTCCGTACGGGCCAGTCTTGCCAGACTCTAGGGTTGTGCGCTCATCTCACTCAAGAGGCCGGGGGCCAGCGCTGTCCGGAGACACTTCCAGGTCACGTGGCCAGTGTGACATCGCTGCTCTGGCGAGCCAGAGCCGCACACAGAAACGCTGTTTACCTTCCCGCTTGTAAGCGGTCCCTATTTATCTACTTGCACCCGGGGGTGCTTTCGAACTGCTAGGTTGGCAGGCGCTGGGACCGAGCAATGGGAGCGCACCCCGCCGCGGGGATTCGAACCGCCGACCTTTCGATCGGCAAGCCCTAGGCGCTGAGGCTTTTACCCACAGCGCCACCCGTGTGGCTAGTAGCCCTTAATAATAATAATAATAATAATAATAATAATAATAATAATAATAATAATAATTTATTTATACCCCGCCCATCTGGCTGAGTTTCCCCAGCCACTCTGGGCGGCTTCTAATCAAGTGTTAAAAACAATACAGCATAAAATATTTAAAAACTTCCCTAAACAGGGCTGCCTTCAGATGTCTTTTAAAAATAAGATAGCTACTTATTTCCTTCACATCTGAAGGGAGGGCATTCCACAGGGCGGGCGCCACCACCGAGAAGGCCCTCTGCCTGGTTCCCTGTAACCTCGCTTCTCACAGCACAGGGAGGGAACCGCCAGAAGGCCCTCGGAGCTGGATCTCAGTGTCTGAGCTGAACAATGGAGGTGGAGACGCTCCTTCAGGTATACAGGACTGAGGCTGTTTAGGGCTTTAAAGGTCAGCACCAACACTTTGAATTGTGCTCAGAAACGTACTGGGAGCCAATGCAGATCTCTCAGCACCGGTGTTATGTGGTCCCAGCGGCCACTCCCAGTCACCAGTCTAGCTGCCGCAATGGCCCGCTCCTCCATGTAAAGCAGGCACCCCCAAACTCAGCCCTCCAGATGTTTTGGGACTACAGTTCCCATCATCCCTGACCAATGGTCCTGTTAGCTAGGGATGGTGGGAGTTGTAGTCCCAAAAACATCTGGAGGGCCGAGTTTGGGGACGCCTGATGTAAAGGCATGGATTTGTCAGGTAGCAGCTACCCAGACTCTTTCCAAGGCCAGCCTGCCGCTGAAGGGTAGAGTCCTTCCTGCTCCTGCCACCCCTCCCTGGCTCTCTGCTCTTAAGCTGGCACGTGACTGTTGGAGGATTTATGGTGAGGCTTCATGCCCCCTCTACGAGCACATCCTATGGGGATGCCAAACTGCCTCTCCTCACCTCAAGCTGCAGCGCAGGCCAGGCGCCGGCAGAGCAGGCCAGGCACCTCTTCCCGTCCTGAATGCTCAAGATGATGGAGAACTTCTCGTGGTCAAAGGCCCGGTTGTGAATCCAGTAGATCTTCTCTAGGGATGGGAAAGAGTAGGTGAGAGAGTCTGTTGGCATCCTGTGGGGAATCCCATTAGAGAGGCTGGAGGTGTGAGGGCATTCCCAGGGGTCATACTGATGGGTGATGTCAGGGTTAGGGGCTCAGTAGCAGTCAGAGGAGGGACGTGGGTGGCACTGTGGGTTAAACCACAGAGCCTAGGACTTGCCGATCAGAAGGTCGGCGGTTCGAATCCCCGTGACGGGGTGAGCTCCTGTTGCTCGGTCCCTGCTCCTGCCAACCTAGCAGTTCGAAAGCACGTCAAAGTGCAAGTAGATAAATAGGTACCACTCCGGCGGGAAGGTAAATGGCATTTCCGTGCGCTGCTCTGGTTCGCCAGAAGCGGCTTAGTCATGCTGGCCACATGACCTGGAAGCTATACGCCAGCTCCCTCGGCCAATAAAGCAAGATGAGTGCCGCAACCCCAGAGTCGGTCACAACTGGACCTAATGGTCAGGGGTCCCTTTACCTTTTAGCAGTCAGAGGACGAGGGCGTGGTCTACCCTTGCCTCTTTTGCTGACCTGGAGGGAGGTGGGGGGACGACCTTCAAGCCCAGGATGCTGGTGGCCTTGCATACGCAACCTGCCCCTAGCTTAGAGGGCCACAACCAGGGAAAAGAAGGGTGTCCAGTTTCCTTTCCCGGCGACTGATGCCAAGACACGGGAGCCCATAAGATAAATCCAGAGCTGATGATCGAGGTAGAAGTTGGGGATGGCAGAAGCGGTGAAGAGGCAGAACAAGAGTGTGAGAATGAGCAGGAGAAAGTCTGCAGGAGAGGGAAGCGATGGTGGAGGCAGGAGCACATAGTGGTGCACACATGGGCACGCACACAAACAAACAAACACGTTCTGTGGCATGCAAGCAATCGAGGGCAGCACCAACGCAGAAGGAAAAGAACAGGCTGTGCTGATGGAAGGAGAAATTTGCAGGCCTCCCTTTGAGATATCATAGAATTTAAAGGGACCCCACTGATTCAAGCCCTTGAAATGCAGGAATCACAGTTATGTTCCAGGCTCCCCAAGTGGTCCAACCCCAGGTCCTGTCTGCCCAGTGGGAAGGAAGCATTGGTTGTGTCCACAATATGGGTCACATCCAACCCATGAGGAATAGTTCTTCTCCCACCAGCCTATAAGCTTCAGGAAAGCAAAACTCTGCAGACTCACCTTCCAGGGCAGAATCAGGGCCTTGCAGGTATCCAGCTACCAGCTCATTGTTCTGGAGGTAGAGGGACTTCTGGTTGACATCCCAGATTCTGAAACCAAACAAGGCTGCCTTTACAAGAAAAATCTTTCCCTTTTCTCTCACCTGCCACAAACCTGTTAGTCTAATCCTCAGCATTATCCAGATCTTTAGGTGTGCATGCGTGCACAGAGGACTGAACTGCCTCAGAACTGACCAATCAGCATGGACACCTCATTGCCCATACCTGGTTCCACAGCCTGCCATTTACAAAACCCACCAACACTGGCAATGCCAAAGACCCTGGCCAGGGCGATGCTTGTCCCTTTCTAGGCAGAGTGGCAGCAGTTCATCACCCCCAGCAACCCCTTTCACGAATCAGGCTTGCCTCCCCAACCCCTTGTACTGGCAGCATTGCCAGGCAACCTCAAACTCGCCAGAAGAAAATCAGATGCAAAACTGGACTGAAAAGAAACACCTTGCATTCCTAATGTGATAAAATAGAGCTGTATTCCTGCATTGGGCAGTGTGAACGGGGAGGGAAGGTGTGTTGTCAATCCATCCCATGAGACGAGAGATTCCCTTTCATACTCTTCACTATCTGCAAGACTCAATACTCATCTACTTTGATGAGAAGCTTGTTTGGTCTTAAGAGCGACACCTGATTGCAGGCAAAAAAGCAGAAATCGGGCATTGTCAAATGTGCAGGATCTGCTGTTTCTATCCAGTTTGCGAAGGCTGGAACAGCCTTGACTAGGGACAGAGAAGTTTTTTGGTGGGCACAGAAGTTTCTGTATTCTCACAAGCATCCAGTTAGCACTCTCTCCCTCCCAGGTTACATTTGCCACTTACGAAGCAGCACCCACTCTGCCATGGAAACCACCTGTACACAATTGGGCCCAGGGCACTTACCTGGACCTGAAGACGGCTGCCTGGGCAAAGACCTTCTTCTCCCCATCTGGACAGAGAACAGAAAGGAGGAAGAGGAGGATGTGACTTCCAGGGTATTTGTGTGACTCCATTCTAAATCAGGCATTACCTGGTAGCTCTGCTTGACCAGTGAGGCTGGTCCCTTTTTATAGATCCCTTGACAACCAGTGGGTGGGAATGTACATGATTGCTAGACACTGTAATTAATTCTGTGGTCGGGTCCCAGGATTTCCAGCAGCTCTTTTGCATGTTGCAATTCATGTCGCAACTTTGGACGCTGAAACTAAAGTTCCCTAAAATGACAGCTGAAGCTCCTTCCTCTTGCTACGTGCAAAGGGGAGGAAAGAGTAACACATAAATGGAGTGACAAGAAACCCTGACGCATTTTTAAATTATGCCCATAGCAGGGAATACAGATATTCCAAATGCTTCACTCTTCAAAAGAAAGCAAAGACTCAATTCCTCGATAAGAGCTGTAGCCAGCAACCGCATTTGAGCAGAGCATTATCTCAAATCTCAAAACAACAGCTGGTCTCTGTTTAAAATAGGCTCCCCGACGGTCCCAGTTTCTGCACTCCGCTACCCAACCACCCTGTTCCGGCATTTCCGCTTACAGAATGAACCAATTCACCACAAGGCGAGCATGAGAAGCAGTTGGTCTTGCTCCCTTGACTTGGTGTCTTGCAAATGACCAAAGTTAGAAAAGAGGCAACACTCGAGTACACTAAAGCACGCCATACTGTACCAGCAAAGTTGGAGGGTTCCTGCTCCTGCTGGTCACACATGGTTTCGATCCTGGTGCCTGGGTGGCCTTGTGGGCCTCACCCCAGCTATTTATGGAGCACTTTTAGGAGGCGTGGCCAGGCTTGGGATGGTGTCGACAGAAAAGTGTAATCACGAAATATGCAAGAGATAATTGCATCTTGAGACAAAGCTCTCTCGAGTCATTCCCCAAACCTTGAGTGGCCTTTTGCAGTGTTGCTCCATTATGGATCTTCTCAATTTTGCACCCCTCCAGCTCTGTAACCTTTATGGGGGGGAATTGCCCAGATCACCTAAATCCAGCAGTGGAGGAGTTGCCTGCTGTTCATGGTAGAGCTTGATGAGGCTGTTTTAGGGAGTGTCAGAAAGGGGGTATTCCGTCCCTGCTCTGAACTGCTCTGCTATTTTTATCTGTATCTCCTTCTATGCTTGCAAGAAATCTTTCTTCAGCATCTCCCAGTGTGATGATTGTTCCTTGCTCTGCGTATGGTTGTAGGGGGGCTGGTGCCAGCTGAGTGTGTTTGGGACATAATAAGATATTACAGAGACCAATAAGATATTATAGACAAATGCCTAAAGGGCTGTCACACGAAAGATGGAGCAAACCTGTTCTGGAGGGTGAGACTCGAACCAATGGATTCAAGTTACAAGAAAGGAAATTCCAACTAAGCATTAGGAAGAACTTTCTGACAGTAAGAGCTATCAGTGGAACGGTGGTGGACTTTCCTTCCTGCGAGGTTTGTAGCAGAGGTTGGTCATTTGTTATGGATGCTTTAGTTGAGATTCCTGCATTGCACAATTCTGATTCTGAACTTGGGGTCCTTGGGAGGAATCAGCAGCTTCATGTGGGCTTGTTTACAGCATCATGCTCTGTTGGCACTTTTTGTGTACATCCATCTGTGACTGGCTGTGTGTGGTGGGCAGTGTGCATTGACTGGGTGACTAAGGACACAGTGTGCATCACTGAGTCCCCTCGGCCAGGCTTGGACTCTCTGGCAGTACTAGACCACTTCCAAAATACAGCTATTTTTTAAGCTTTTGTTAGTTTGATATATAAATGACTGAAGCAAGGTCTGTTTACCCAGGACAGCTTGTCTCAAGTGAAGAGGAAGCTGCTATTCTGAGAAAAAAGGAACTTCAGATTGGCTTACGTTGAAAGGGTACATGATGCTTACTCATAGACCAGCATCGTGTAGGAAATGGTCTCCTATGGACACAAACTGAGGTATGAGGAAATGAGATCATTTCCAATAAGACTTGTCCATATTCAGGAACGCATGGCTGCAAGATGTTGTGCAACGCATGTCCAGCCCCCATAAAAAAATTATGCACGTCTGTGGTCACTTTTGGTGTGTGTCACCAGCTGAACACGATCCAGCAGTGGTTATGCTCATCGTGTTAACAGAAACGGAGGCTTTTAGATAACAGGAAGCAACCAGTCCTACTCAATTGCACATTGCTCTGGCCACCTTCTGAGTGCCACGTTACAAGAGCCTACTGGGTCCACTGCAGCATGTACAGAGGAGGGCAGCCAGGAGAGTGAAGGGGGTGGCTAGAAAACCAGGCGGAATGGTTGGAAGGAGCCAGCTTCGCCTTAACCTGGAGAATCAAAGAATTGTAGAGCTAGAACGCACTCCAAGGGCAACCTGGCTCAAGCTCCTGCAAGGCAGGAAATACTGCCGGAGAAGCCCCGATTAGCAGAAGACAGCGGTCTTCAAATGCCGGAATATACCGGTATGCGTGCCTGGTGGGGAATGTGTGTTCCCCGCCCCCACTCCAACATTTAAATATTCTGGGATTCAATGTTATTTTTCTGCTAGTAAATGATCAGTAAACTCCAACGCAGCTGCGCCTCTCGCTCAGTCCTGCTCAGGCGGAAGGGCAGCAGGAGGAAATGCCGGACCAGATGCATAGCTGCCAACTTTTCCCATTTTTTAAGGGAAATTCCCTTATTCCGAATAGGATTCCTCGCAAGAAAAGGGGAAAGTTGACAGCTATGACCAGATGCCCGTTTAGTTTTCCCATCCGAGAGGCCTTAGTCCTCCTCCCCCCCCTCCCTGCGGGGGTTAAAAGGGCCCCGAGGAGCCTTGGGGTTGGGCTCGATGACCACGCGGGAGCCCTTCCTCCCTGCTGCCTCTTCCGCTCGGGCTTCAGGGAAGGGCAAGCCTCCCCAGGCTTTCTGCGCACGCGCAGCCTCCTCCGTCGGGCAGAGTCACCTGACCGGCGCTGTTTTCCCCCCTCGGCGCATGCGCAGCACTCGGAGCTGTTTCCACCTCCGGCGGGGGGTGGTGTTGGGGAGGGCAGCCTCGGCGCATGCGCAGCAATTGACAGCGTCGGCCAGCGTCGTCCATGGCAGGCGGGTGTCGCTCGGGGGATCCCGCGGCCTTCTCGGCCCGGCCGCCGGGGTGGCGGCTCGCGGCGGCGCTGCTGATGCTGCTGGCGGCGGGCCGCGGGGCGCAGGCGCTCTACTTCCACATCGGGGAGACGGAGAAGCGCTGCTTCATCGAGGAGATCCCTGACGAGACCATGGTTATCGGTGCGCATGCGCGAGGAGGAGAGGGAGGGGCGGGGGTGGGGGAGAGCGCGGGGGGTGCGCGCGCACCGGCTCACCTGTCGGCTGTCCCCTGTTGACGGTGGCGGGCCTGTTCCTCCGCTCCGCAGGGAACTACCGGACGCAGCTGTGGGACAAACAGTCCGAGGCCTTCCTGCCCTCCACGCCGGGCCTGGGCATGTTCGTGGAGGTCAAGGATCCCTATGGGAAGGTGAGCAGGTGGAGGAGGAGGAGGGGGGAGCGGGAGCTGCTTCTTCTTGGCCTGACAGCAGCAGCCAAGGGGGCGCTGAGCAAGGAGACCCTGCCCGCCACCCTCTCCTCCCTGGGGCCTTTCAATAGTTTGGGGGGGGCGGGGTGTATGTGTGCAGGGAGGCAATATGCCTGTTGCTTCCTCACCTCTGCCGTGTATCTGAAGAAGTGTGCATGCACACGAAAGCTCATACCAAGAACTAACTTAGTTGGTCTTTAAGGTGCTACTGGAAGGAATTTTTTTTGTTTTGACTCTGCATCAGGGGTGAGGGAGAGGATTTAAAGCCCCTGAAAGGGCCAGGCGACTCCTTGGTAGGGGTGAGGATGGTCTGGGGTCGTCACCCCTGGCGAAAGCTCCAATCAGATATCATAAAAGGTAAAGGGACCCCTGACCATTAGGTCCAGTCGTAGTCGACTCTGGGGTTGCGGCGCTCATCTCGCTTTCAGCTTCCGGGTCATGTGGCCAGCATGACTAAGCCGCTTCTGGCGAACCAGAACAGCGCACAGAAACGCCGTTTACCTTCCTGCCAGAGTGGTACCTATTTATCTACTTGCACTTTGACGTGCTTTTGAATTGCTAGGTTGGCAGGAGCAGGGACCGAGCAACGGGAGCTCACCCTGTCGTGGGGATTCGAACCGCCGACCTTCTGATCGGCAAGTCCTAGGATCTGTGAGCAGAAATAGAAGCAGCAGGTGAGATACCCCCACACCCCTACCTGCCTGACTTTGCTGCTGCTTGATGGTTTCAGATGGTCCTCTCCAGGCAGTACGGCTCTGAAGGCCGCTTCACCTTCACTTCGCACACCCCAGGAGAGCACCAGATCTGCCTCCACTCCAACTCCACCCGCATGGCCCTTTTTGCAGGTGGGAAACTGGTAAGCAGGTTTCTATGTGCCCTTTCCCTCTGTCCATCTTGCTCCAGCCAAGATGGCGGGGGCTGCTCTTCAGGTGCTCTGCCCTCACGAACTGGACTCCACCTCACCCTGGTTGTTGCTTGTGTAAGGCAAGAGGAAGCTGGTGTAGAAGGCCAGAGCTCCTTCTACATTTGCTGAGCAACTGATTGGAAGGGAGGAGGAAAAAGCCCTGATGAGACAGGGGTGGGGAGTGGGTTGAACTGCAGTGGTGGCTCTTGAATTGGTTTGTGTGTTGCTGTGTTGTGTTCAGCGGGTGCACTTGGATATCCAAGTCGGGGAGCACGCAAACAATTACCCAGAGATTGCAGCCAAGGACAAACTGACCGAACTGCAGCTAAGAGCCAGGCAGCTCTTAGACCAGGTGGAGCAGATCCAGAAGGAGCAGAACTACCAAAGAGTAAGTAACGGATTTCTTTCTTTCTTTTTTTTACCATAATGCCATTCAGGAGGAGGAGCGGGATCTTGAATGGCATTATGGGGGGGAGGGGGCATCAACCCTGTCCATAGTTTGTGAGGAACTTGTCAGACCTCAATGTTTAAATGGTTCCTACCTAATCACTAATACCGTACTTAATGAGCATCATCTTGAAAGGCTTTGCTCATCTGAAAGTTCAGAGAAGCACTTGCCAGATCCTAAGAACTTCTTTGGGAGGGGGCATTCAAGCTGCATTGGTGCAGGCCGACTGGAGTTAGGGTGGCGTTTGTTGTAGGTAAATAGCCGCGGGTTTACAGGTGGTGTACCTGCAATAGACCAAGATTGGCAGGAGTTGTTCAGAGGGGGATAGTACTGGAAAGATCCTACATCTGCAAGAAGGACTCACCTGCGTAGATGGGGATGTTGGGTTGTATGGGTCTGGTGTGGGGAAGGGGAGAGGGAAGTACCTTCTCTGACTCTCGCCACCATGTTTACTTTCCAGTACCGAGAGGAGAGATTCCGCATGACCAGCGAGAGCACCAACCAGCGGGTGCTGTGGTGGTCCATTGCCCAGACCATCATCCTCATCCTCACAGGCATTTGGCAGATGAGGCACCTCAAGAGCTTCTTTGAGGCTAAAAAATTGGTGTAGCCCCTCTGACAGCACAGGCACCGTTGTTCTTCCGGTTCCACTGAGCACTTCTTGACCCTCCTGGATTTGGCACAACTGAAAGGACAGATGGAAGCACAGCATGTGAAACATCTTTGGACCAGCATTTGCATACTTCCTCTTCCCTGATGAAGGGGGTGCCCTGCCCACAGAAGTCTCTCACGTGCCACCCCGTTCTTTGCTTTGCTGTGTTGCAGCAGCTGGAAAAGCCTCTGTGGGCAGTGCCCTTGTGCAGATCCAAAGGAAGAGAAAATTGCTTTCTAAGAGACTGAGTAGGCTCTTTTTTTTAAAAAAAAGTGCTTTCCTGTTTCTGGATCCTGATTGGTGGGAGTAACTTCTGGGTTGTTCTGTTCTGGTGGTTCCCTGTCATTCTTTGCTCTTAACACGTGAGGTTTGTGGGGGCAGCCCTTGTAATGGAGAACGGCCTGGAAGAGGAAATGGGAGGGGTGGAATAACATTTATACTCAAACTAGGTTTTTTCTTGCTGGGGGTGGGGGTGGCCTGATACCTACTGGAACTTGGGGCGGGGGCTGCTTAGGACAACAGCAGTGGTTGCCTACAGGGTTCTGGCAGCATCTCCTCTTGTAACCCTCCCCAGTTTCCAGCGGAGGGGCTAGATAACCATTGTGAACATGGGGTTAGCAAAAGTTTAGGCTCCAGGTGTGTTTCAAGTGCTTTCACAGAAGGGATCTCTAGACTTCTGCAAATGAGCCTAGTTTAAGGATACCCGCAGGTAGTATCTTTTAATTGCACAGAGAAGAGTTTCCACTTGGGTGAGTAGGGGTTTTTTTTAATACGGCCCTGCTAATGCCACTAGTGTGGATGGCAGGAAGCTTGCTAGGAGACAGCATTAAGTAAGTTGCCATTTATGTACCATGGAGCTCCTTAACAGCCTTTCTTGAGTTTGGAAAGAGAGGCCTCTACCTATGCAAAAGTATACCTGATGGATTTGTGGGTGACAGCAGAGCCAGAGCATGGAATGGTGGAGAATTTGAAATGCAGTTATCTCCCCCTCCTCTTCCCTGTGTTTTATTTCCTGCCCACAACGGTAAATTCTTAATAATGTTCCATGTTACAGTTCTGGAGTGAAATAAAATTTCCTGCGAAAGGCTTTCTCTTCCTTGTGTTACTGATTTGGGGTTTGGGTGGGGGTACGGGGACAAGGGGGGCTGAGCTCAAGAGGAAAATATAATTGGCTCTGGGACTAGGCTCCTCCTGCAAACTTCTTCTTGGCAACGGAGACCCCCACAACCAGCAGCTTCAAAGTTTTTTTTTGTGGGGAAGGAGTAAGGTGGGCCAGGCTCTCTAAGAAGGCTCTGATGCTTTCAGGTTCCTCTGGGTCCTTAGGTAGTGCCTGGCATGAAGAAGAAGAGTTTGGATTTGATATCCCGCTTTATCACTACCCAAAGGAGTCTCAAAGCGGCTAACATTCTCCTTTCCCTTCCTCCCCCACAACAAACACTGTGAGGTGAGTGGGGCTGAGAGACTTCAGAGAAGTGTGACTAGCCCAAGGTCACCCAGCAGCTGCATGTGGAGGAGCGGAGACACGAACCCACTTCACCAGGTTAGGAGTCTACCGCTCTTAACCACTTCACCACACTGGCTCTCACTGGTATGCGAAGGGTCATAGAGCATGATGACAGATTGTTTAAATGCAGGTGGGAAAGGCCCAGTTTCCCACTCCCAGTGGCCAAGCAGATGCAACAGACTTCAGCCAACCTATTTCTGGGGTGATGGGAGCGGTTCCTTGGTAGCTGCTCTAAACCCAAATAGGATTGGCAAGTCAAACCAGATTTGGGCTTGTTTGTTTAGTCGTTTAGTTGTGTCCGACTCTTCGTGACCCCCTGTACCAGAGCACACCAGGCACTCCTGCCTTCCACTGCCTCCCGCAGTTTGGTCAAACTCATGCTGGTAGCTTCGAGAACACTGTCCAACCATCTTGTCCTCTGTCGTCCCCTTCTCCTTGTGCCCTCCATCTTTCCCAACATCAGGGTCTTTTCCAGGGAGTCTTCTCTTCTCATGAGGTGGCCAAAGTATTGGAGCTTCAGCTTCAGGATCCGTCCTTCCAGTGAGCACTCAGGGCTGATTTCCTTCAGAATGGATAGGTTTGATCTTCTTGCAGTCCATGGGACTCTCAAGAGTCTCCTCCAACACCATAATTCAAAAAGATTTGGGCTAATAAAGACCAATTTCGGCTTGATTGCCCTGCACCTCTCTGCCTGGCTGGCGGTGCCCCCTTCACTCCCGGGACCCAGAGGAGGCTGCTCGCTTGGCCCACATCCCCCCCCGTCTAGGCTACGGAGCAGGTCGTCAGTACTGAAAGGGCTCCCGGCAAGGGGTTCCGCCGGTGCCCGCTAAGCCAGGGAGCCAGCCAGTCGCCTTTGGATCCGAGATTCCACGCTGCAATAGCAGCCAGCGAAGCAAGCGCCGCTCGAGCCGCCAAGGCCTGCAGGGGGCGCCGTTGGGGCCGCGTCTCGCTGCTCGGTTTGGCCGGCTAGAGCGGCTGCTTCCGGCTGGGGAAAGCGGAAGCGGCGGCCGCGCGGACAGGGGCAGCATGGAGGGAGAAGCGGGCAGCTTCGCGCACCTCGGGCTGGACGCGCGGCTCCTGCAGGTAACGCGGGCGAGGCTGGGAAAGGGGGGGGGGCTGCGGCCTCCGCCGCCTCCGGGCCTGACCTCGTGTCTCTCGTTCTCTCTGCCCGGCAGGCGACGGCGGAGCTGGGCTGGGCGAAGCCGACGCTGATCCAGGAGAAGGCCATCCCGCTGGCCCTGGAGGGCAAAGACCTGCTGGCGCGGGCCAAGACGGGCTCCGGCAAGACGGGCGCCTACGCCCTGCCCCTCCTCCAGCACCTGCTCCGGGGGAAAGCGGTGAGCTCCCCGGGGCCCCGACCCTCTCCCTCCCTCATCATCATCATCATCATCATCATTTATACCCCGCCCATCTGGCTGGGTTTCCCCAGCCACTCTGGGCGGCTTCCAACAAAAGATTAAAAATACATTGAAACCTCAGTCATGATAAACTTCCCTAAACAGGTGTGCCTTCAGATGTCTTATAAATGTTAGATCAGGCACCCCCAAACTTGGCCCTCCAGATGTTTTGGGACTACAACTCCCATCATCTCTAGCTAACAGGACCAGTGGTTAGGGATGATGGGAATTGAAGAAGAAGAAGAAGAGTTTGGATTTGATATCCCGCTTTATCACTACCCGAAGGAGTCTCAAAGCGGCTAACATTCTCCTTTCCCTTCCTCCCCCACAACAAACACTCTGTGAGGTGAGTGGGGCTGAGAGACTTCAGAGAAGTGTGACTGGCCCAAGGTCACCCAGCAGCTGCATGTGGAGGAGCGGAGACGCGAACCCGGTTCACCAGATTACGAGACTACCGCTCTTAACCACTACACCACACTGGCTCTTTTGTAGTCCCAAAACATCTGGAGGGCCGAATTTGGGGATGCCTGTGTTGGATAGTTGTTTATTTCTTTGACATCTGATGGAAGGGCGTTCCACAGGGCAGGCGCCACTACCGAGAAGGCCCTCTGCCTGGTTCCCTGCAACTTCACTTCTCGCAGTGAAGGAACCACCAGACGGCCCTCGGCACTAGACCTCAGTGTCCGGGTTGAACATTGGGGGTGGAGATGGTCCTTCCGGAAGAACTGGAACGTGGAGCTGTAGAGTTGGAAGGGACCCCACCCCCCAGGCCATCTAGCTCAGGCCCCCACAGTGTAGGGGTCGCACCTAAACAGCCCCTTTTGTGATGGCCTGGAGAGGGCGGGACTCTTCTGACTGGGTCTTTTCTTGCCTCCTAGTCAGCGCTGGTGGTGGAGCAGGCCGTTCGGGGACTCATCCTGGTCCCCACCAAGGAGCTGGGCCAGCAGGTGCTGCAGATGCTCCGGCAGCTGACCTCCTACTGCTCCCGAGACCTGCACCTCGTTGACATCTCTGGCCAGGCGGACTTGGCGGCTCAGAGGTGAGTGGTGGGAGGAGGGGCAGGACGGCTGTCTCTTGGGCTGGCCATGTTATTGAAGTCCCCAACCCCAACCCCAAAATGCTTTCTGATTCCTGGCCCGACCGCACTGGCTGCCGATTTGTTTCCCTGCCCAATTCGAAATGCTCATTTTGACCTATAAAGCTGTAAGCAGCTCACAACCGCAATACCTGAAGGACTGCTCTCCCCATATGAACTGACCCAAACCCACGATCATCATCTGAGGCCCTTCTTTGTGTGTCTCCTCCATGAGAGGTCTGGAGTGTGGCAACACAAGAACAGTCCTTTGATGCAGTGACTGCCTGTTTGAAAAGCTCTCCCCGGGAAGGCTCGCCTGACACCTACATTACATATATTTAGGTGCAAGGTGAAAACTTTTCTTTTCAACATTCTGTGGCTTTGTAAGTGCCTTTGTAGAGTGGGGAGATGTTTGTTTTTGCTTTATTATGTTCTTACATACACAACATTTTGTATTTTAATGTTGTGAACCGCCCTGTGATCTTTGGATGAGGGATGGTATACAAATTTAATAATAACAATAATAATAATATTTTTTTTATTTATACCCCGCCATTCCCAGTTCAAAAACTGGGTTTAGGGCAGCTAACAACAAATTTAAAACACTTTAAAACAATTATAAAAGCAGCATAAAATACAGTATAAAAACATGAATAACAATAAAAATAAAAAACCAATTAGATAATCCCCAGGGCTAGCTGGCTGAATAAATAACAATAATTCCTGTAAATGGGTCCTTTGTCGTTGGCAGGCTGTGATGGTGGTTCTTTCAAGGGGGCTTTGGAGATGGAAGACAGGCTGGCCTCTCTAAAGCATTCCAGAGCCTTTCTGGAGTCTCTTGTAGTCTCACATTTTGCTTGTGGCCTCTGGTTGCTTTCTGAGTGGCAACAATGAATGGGGGTCCTCTTCTGCAGTTGACACTGCCCTCTTGGGGAGATCCTCTGTAGCCCAGTTAAGGGTGGCAGCCTCTTCCCATCAGCAACCTCTGGTTGCGGTTGCATCGCAGACCCAAAGCTTTCATTCAAGGTCAGGCAAGTATATGTGGTAGTTTCACAGAAACTGGGCCTTCCCATCTCTGACTGAGGCTTTTGTGTGTTGTGGATTCTCTTCCTTCAAGGCCCATCTTGATGGAGAAGCCGGATGTGGTGGTGGGGACGCCATCGCGGGTCCTGGCTCACTTGAAGGCTGGCAGCCTGAGCCTGCAGGATTCCTTGGAAATCCTGGTCTTGGATGAAGCTGACCTCCTTTTCTCCTTTGGCTTTGAGGAAGATTTGAAAAGTCTGTTGTGGTGAGTTTATTCTGGCCCTGGGTTGTTGGCTTTGAAAGGCCAGCCTGTGGTTCTGTAGGAGTGTGGAGGGGGCCTAGGAGGTCTCTGAGTTCTTACAAGCAGTACCTGCTCAGGTGTCCTGCTCCATCATTTGTTGAATGTTGGATGCTATGCCAAGGGGGGAAGCGGGGATAGTCCTGGAGCTAGATAAATTGCTTTTTGTATCCAGCTAGAATCCATTAGGACGCGGGTGGCGCTGTGGGTTAAACCACAGAGCCTAGGACTCGCTGATCAGAAGGTCGGCGGTTTGAATCCCCATGACGGGGTGAGCTCCCGTTGCTCTGTCCCTGCTCCTGCCAACCTAGCAGTTCAAAGCACGTCAAAGTGCAAGTAGATAAATAGGTACCGCTCCGGCGGAAAGGTAAATGGCGTTTCCGTGTGCTGCTCTGGTTTGCCAGAAGCGGCTTAGTCATGCTGGCCACATGACCCAGAAGCTGTACGCCGGCTCCCTCGGCCAATAAAGCGAGATGAGCGCCGCAACCCCAGAGTCGGCCACGACTGGACCTAATGGTCAGGGGTCCCTTGACCTTTACCTAGAATCCATTTTGAAGCTTGTTGGATCCATTTTGTTTGGTTTTGTGGCATATTTTATTGGGGAAATTGTATACAGTCATAACTCGGGTTGAATGTGCTTCGGGATGAGCGCGTTCGAGTTGCGCTCTGCGGCAAGCCGGAAAGTAACAGAGCGCGTTACTTCCGGGTTTCGCCGCATGAGCAGACGCTCAAAATGACATCATGCGCATGCGCAGAAGTGGCGAAAAGCAACGCATGCGTGCGCAGACAT